TAAGGGTGCTGTGTGTGAGGGTGCTGTTAGTGTGATGTGTGTGTGAGGATGCTGTTTGCATGCTGTGTGTATGTGTGAGGGTGTTTGTGTGTGTGTGTGTGTTTGTTAGGGTCCTGTTAGTGTGCTGTGTGTGTGAGGGTGCTGTGTGTGTGTTTGTGAGGGTGCTGTTTCTGTGCTGTGTGAGAGGGTGCTGTGTGTTTGAGGGTGCTGTATGTGTGTGGGTGCTGTATGTGCGAGGGTGCTGTGTGTGTGTTTGTACTGTGTGTGTGTGGGTACTGTATGTGTGTGAGGGTGCTGTGTGTGTGTGGGTGCTGTATGTGTGTGCTGTGTGTGTGGGTGCTGTATGTGTGAAGGTGCTGTATGTGTGCGGTGTATGTGTGTGAGGGTGCTGTATGTGCGTGTGTGCTGTGCATGTGTGGGTGCTGTATGAGTGTGTGTGCTGTGTGTGTGGGTGCTGTATGTGTGTGCTGTGTGGGGGTGCTGTGTATGTGTGTGCTGTATGTGTGAAGGTGATGTATGTATGTGTGTGCTGTATGTGTGTGTGGGTGCTGTATGTGTGTGCTGTGTGTGTGTGGGTGCTGTATGTGTGAGGGTGCTGTATGTGTGTGTGTGTGTGTGTGCGCTGTATGTGTGTGTTGTATGTGTGTGTGTGTGCTGTGTGTGTGTGTGCTGTGTGTGTGTGGGTGCTGTGTGTCTGTGTGTGCTGTATGTGTGTAGGTGCTGTGTGGGTGCTGTGTGTGTGGGTGTGTGTGCTGTATGTGTGTGTGTGTGCTGTATGTGTGTGGGTGATTGTGGGGGTGGAGGTGGGGGTACATTACTTAATATCCCCCCTTCTTTCTTACCTTATGTAGGGAGGGGGGATCGTGCTGCTGCTTTCCCTGGTGGTCCATTGGAGAGTGAACTCTAGCCCCTATGGCCGCGGCAACGCTCAGAACTCGCGAGAGGAACCCGGCGGAGCTGCTGGTTGAGCTCCCTGGGTCCTCTCCTGCTTCCCTCCATGCTGCAGTGGGAAGGGAGGCTGAGAGCAGAGCCGGCGCTCGGATAGCGCTGGCCCTGCATGAGCCGACAGGGGGGATCCTGAGATCTCCCCTGCCGGTCTCAATACATAGGCGTGCCACGGGGATTAGGGTGTGCCCAGGCACACCCGGCACACCCCGTGCACACGCCTATGGTATGCACACAGTTCAGAAGAACATCAGGAGAAGCAGGGTACACATGTACCACCGAACCAGCCTGCCAACCTTAACTCCCTTTCTATAAAATGGAAACTTTCACTTTTCTGGAATTACACCATTGAATAAAACAAGGGTAGGCAACCTATGGCACGTGTGCCATGCATGGCACTCGAGGTATCTTTGCACGGCACTCAAGGCTGCTAGAGCCAAACAAGCTTTTCTGGCCTATCAGGAGTCCCAGTGGAACTTCAGAGATCTGCTAATGTGAAAAGGTGGTGAAAGACAATCCTCAATGTATGCATTGCAGCACGTAGAGTAAGTGATCTCTCCAATAACAATCCACATAGATGCATGCAACCCCAGGAGCAGTCTCACATGCAATACCCCAAGCAGCCCCACACATACACACCCCACCAAACACAAAATGTGACATGTCCATCAACACACTCAATTCCACAAGCAGCCCCCCATACACAGCCAAAATTCATAGGTATAATACGCACAATACCACAAACTACTCATGAACATATACAATATAACAGCTCATATATGCACAAATACAACAATACAAAGCAACTACAGTATAAATAACACAAGCAGATCACGGCAAAATAGACACTGCAATTTTAAAAAAATAGGACCATCACACTACAAGATATCACAATCTTATTTTGGCACAGTACTGTTAAAAGGTTGCCTACCCCTGGAATAAAACATTGAAAACCATGTAACTTGTGCAAACCTTTTCCCTTGTTCCATTTTTTTAATATATATATATCAAAGGTTTAGCAATTGTCAGTGCTCACATTGCGTTGGAGTTTCTATTTCTCCTCCTTTTTCTACGTTAACGCCAGGTTGACTTAGAGTTAAAAATGGCAGAGCTTATACCAGATATTAACCAGGAGACAATATGGAGGGACTCCAGGACTGAGTTTAATACAGTATTTTGGATTCCTGGATTTTGCTTTATTTTTCAGAGTTATCAAAACACATATTTTAAGCATAGGGGACAAATAAACACAAGAGTGAAAATCCTAGTAAATTATGCTTTACTTCCGAGTTAATCAAATCACGGTAACTTACCTACAGTTAGCTTATGAAATAAATTGGAATATGCCACATGTGACCCAGCACAAGTTGCCAAATTATGTTATGTACAAACCAAAGGCAATGAAAGAGCCAAAGGCAATCGGCCTAAACTAATAATATAAAGATATTGGGTTTGTGATTTGTTGGTTTCTACAAAATGTATTTTTAGTAATAAAGAACTGTGGTCCTTCTTATCCAATTACCCTTATATATTAAAATTTCTTGAAATCGAAGATTTAGGTTATAGAAGTAACCAGAAATTATATTAAACTTGTGCAAAAGACAGGACCTTCACAATTATGAATGTATCCCTGGTGTTCAGGTAATGAAATCATGTACGAGATTGAACTGTCAAATATATAGAAGTGGAATTAATATATAGTAACAAATTTATATATAAATATAATACATAAGAAAAATAAGAAAAAAAAAGATAGTTATATGTTTTAAAGTCCTCTATGTGTTTATATATTATATTATTTCTGCTCCTTTACTGAAGGCATTTTTTTGCATGGGATTATGAGAAGACCCTGAGGAGCTGTGATAAAATATATAGAAAGTCATTTTTATACTGTATCTAGGTCAAACACATTTAAAGGGTTTGCAGTTTCCTCCCAGCATTGTTAGTATATTCAACCACTTTGAGTTGATAAGGGTGGGACAGCGAGACACGTAGATTTCAACAAAGACAGTTTGAAGTGGCATAGGTTTTTATCTGTTACTGATTTCAATGGATGGTTCGCAAACCATGCTGTGTTAAAATGTAGCAAATATAAACTTAATTATGCCCATGCATTAAATTCTCGGATTTAATGTCTGAGTAAAGAACAAAGGAACAAATCACTTTTAATTTAGATTTTGTTCAACATATTAAACAAAACCAGTTATAGGTTTAATAACTGAACTTTGAATTGTGTTGAGTTAAAACTGAAATGACAAAATCGAGGTTAAAATAAACAAGCTGTGATTAAAACGAAGTTAGACAATTTTTCCAAATCAGCATATTTTCAGCAAAAGTTTTGCTATTCAGCTTTCAATTCACTACGATTTAAAGTTTAATGATTAAACCTGTTAATATTATCAAGCGAGGTTGATGGAGGGCATAGTTCAAGCATGAAGATCAGTCGAAGGACATTTCATTAAGGCTGTTGTACAAACTCACGTCACTAGGTGGCAGTAGAATGCAATGATAGAGATGTACATTATATACATTTTAGGGTTGGTTTTATTCCTAAAACAGACTGCAGTGCAGAGAGAGAAACATGTCGACCTACTAGGAAGCAAAACAACAATGCAGGGTCAAGCTTTTGTTTATCTGATTTTTTTTTTTAGGTCTTTGTCACTTTATTTTATTTCTATATACAGTTCCATCAAAATTGAAATATTAAACAAATACAAGCATAGATGTTATGTGTAGAATTGTACATGATTTAGGATTGAGAGAGCACCTCAGCACTCGACAGCAAATACTCAGCAGCAAAGGTCATACGTAGAGAAAACACGTTATGAAAAAAGTTTTAAAAATTAGCAAACAATTCATGTATATTTCCCTATTTCTTTGAAAATATAGGTTTAAATCAGTTACATAACTACATTGTATTCCTCCTCTAAAAGCTTATGTCTTGTAAATCTCTTAAAAAATATATATATAGTTATCTGTAATTAGTGATTTTGCGTTAATTGACATCTGACTTGTAAAATGTTAGCCAGGAAAACCCTTATTTGATCTTGCCGTTTAGTAAATAAACTCCCTTAATGTCGTCAAAAATTCTCATGATCCCATTTATTTTATTTAGTTTATTAGGCAATTATTTGACTTTGACAGCAGTGGGAGTCAGACTCCCCCTCGGATAACAAGCTACATTGAGATTAAATGAAAATTGTCCCGAGAGATTGCATGTGGTATATTTTATACTAATTTCAGAACAGCTGGAATGTGACAGCATGAAATTAAACAAAGACAAAATATTTTGTTTCACTTCAAATAATATCTAATTAGAGTCCAGGTTAAATTTGATTTTACCCTGTAATGTAGTTCTTTATGTAAAATGTATTAGAATTTTATTCTAGGAATATATATATATATATATATATATATATATATATAAAGTGATAGAATGAAATGACAGTTATATATATATATATATATATATGTTTTAATTATTAGTTTTTTCAATTTCTCTACAGTAGAGGTGTCACCAGAGGTGCTTCCTGGTGTTCCATGGAGCTTAATTTGCATTGCATGAGAATGCATGAGAATGTCCAGTGTCATCTCCAATGCTTCAGTGCTGTCCAGTGTCATCTCTAATGCTTCAATGCTGTCCAGTAGCATCTTCCATGCTTCAATGCTATCAAGTGGCATCTCTAATGCTTCAATGCTGTCCAGTGGCATCTTCAATGCTATCCTATGGGGAAGTCATGATGCGTGCATTGCGCTTGTTGTGCATGAACATTAGGTTCCACCATCGCTGTGATGCTATGGAAGGAAGAGTGCAATCTAGCACCAAGGGATCTCAGCACTGGAATCATATAAGTGAATGAAAGGGACGATCAACAGAGGCCGGGGGACACTAAAGTGTTAAATTTTTTAAAATCTTCTGTGTGTTCTCATCCTTTTAGTTATGTGATACACACACACACACACACATAGAGGTAGAACACACACCGTCTGACCATCAGTTGCCTAGTGATCGAGTCAAAGATTCAGCTTACTGTCGTATAACATTAATTGGTTATATAACATTGCCATCACATGGATATCTTGATATAATTAACAAATTTGAGACATCACACCTATGACCTAGCATTCTTAATATAATTAGAATCTAGTAATATTATGCATCAGATTCTAATTTGTATATTATTGTTACGTAGTGGTATTATAAAGTACATATCACATGGAAGTCTGAATATAATTAGTGTATAATTACATCATACAACACATACGTTCGGGTAAGGCAGTCTGCATATAATATAATTAATACAAATTACAATCAAACTATAAATGCTAGTCAGTAGTTAGTTACAAGATAGGCATGATATATTTAGTGACATCATACAGTACATACATTTGGCCATTCTCCAAATAAGTAGCAGTTAGTGACATCATACAGTTCAGTCTGAAGAGTACTGTATAATGTCACTATAATTAATAATGGCAACCTACAGTTCATACATCTGTCTGGCTAGTTGGCATATAATTATTTGTTAGTGTCATCATACAGTACATCAATCCGAGCTGTTTGCCTATAGGTAGTAATTAGTGATGTCATACAACCAGACATCACAAGTTGGATACCTTTCTAAAGACTGCATATAATATTAACACTCAATGACGTCATGCAATATGTAGAGCCTAACAGTCTGTATAAAATTAACAGATAGTAACATCACAGAGTTATTATATTGTGTAACATTCTATATATATTTGATTTTTAGTGACCATGAACATTGTCAGGCATTTTGCATATAGTGACATCATTGTGACATCATTCAGTGCATACCACATGGCTGTTTTTTTTTTATAATTAGTAGCTACAGAACGCCCTGTCAGCACAGAATTTCTAGAGAATGACACTATGCAGTGCATAATATCTTGCTAAGTCCTGTAATACTACAAATATCTCCGATCTTGCAGCACTAGAGAGACTTTCATATTATCCAGCCATTCTTTTGTCATATGCTCAGTGGCTCAATACTTTACAAATTAGGTGGATTTTAAAAATAAATAAATTTGTGAGCAGTAGTGTATGTGTTACTGCATACCTCGCAAGCAGGGGAGGACTGGCAACATGTGACCTGAGGGGTAAACACGATTTAATGGCCCATAGTCTAGTTTGACCAACCCACGTGTTAACATCAGTGATAGTACACAAACAAAATAGACGTGTTGATTGATATACAAGTTGATTGAATAGAAAGAATTAAAGTGCTAAGCACTTGGGCATTTAGATGTAAAAAGTGGTTAGAGAGCAGCCCAGGGAGCTATTGCCCTGCCAACCTAGCACTTGGTCATCACTTATTAATAAGGGAGATCTCCCCAACCAGGCACGCATTTAGTAAAAGGAGTTCTGAAGGATTTTCCAGCAAGGAAATGATATTAGATGCACAGACAAGGTTTATGATACCAGAGAGCAATAAATACATAAACCTGGTATATCAAGTCAATGATATATAAATTCATAAACTAGGTATATCATGCCAATGAGCAGTAAACCTATGAAAGGCCTGGGTAAACCTAAACCGATAGCAGAAAACTGCAGATGAGATAGGGTTTCCCCTTGTAAATGGTGGGAGCAGGTGAGAATCCCAGAAAAGGTGAGGTCTTAGTAGTTGGGAAGGGATAAAGGCACAAAAGGTCTTGCAAGTCCTTTGCTAAAGCAGAACACTGCCTACCAGATAGGGTGTCCCCTGGGGTGTAAGATGGTGAGAAGCCTTTGCATGGTGAAGTCTGAGCAGTTGGGAAGGGATTTATGCACAGTATACACTTTGTTAACAGCATACTGCACAGATAAATGCTGGATTTGTACAGTGTATACGTACATTACACATTGATGAATGGTAAATTCATGCAAAGTATATGTACAGTAAAGGTCACACTGATGGCTGTTGTATTTATGTACAGGATAAGTACAGTACAGTACACACTGATGGTTGCTTTATGTAAGTATAGGCACAGTACTGTACTGATTGTTGCTGCATTGATGTAATGTATAGGTACATATCAATTCACACTGATGGTTGGTGCAGTGATGTAATGTACATTACAGTACACACTGGTTTATACATTGATGTAATGTACATTACAGTACACGCTGGTTTATGCATTGATGTAATGTACATTACAGTACACAACAATGGTTTATGAATTGATATAATGTATAGGTACAGCACAGTGGTTACTGTATTGAGCCAGGGGAGCTACTAGTTATGTTTTGTAGAGGCAGGGTTAAGATGTAGTGGGGGGTGAGCGTTTATGACATGGGGCAGAATTGAAATAGTGTGGGTTGGTGGAGGCAGTCTATGTGCACTGGTAACAGCAGAGAGAATTGGATGGAGGAAGAGAGGTGCAGGTGCTGGCAACCTGTGTTACAGAGAAAGCAGAGCTCCAGAGATTGCCTTGTGCTGGGGTAAACATAATATGATGGGTCACAGAATCTGGCACAACACCCGCCATGCCAGTATAATACAGGCCAGGTGGCAACCCATGCTGCACAGCTAGAATTTTAGCCTGGCAAAGGCCCAGCCCTCCTATGCTCCCAAGTGTCCCTATTTAGGAGGAATAGTCCCTAATATGAGCCAAAATCTATTTTCTATCCTTATGTCCCTCGTTTCTAGAAGCTCCATAGTGTTGTTGCTTCTTGTGTGTCTCTGTGTGTATTACAGAGCTCCACAGCAATAATACTCAGAGTAATGTGTCTTTAACCCCTGTGTGACATGTCATGATTCCCTTTTATTCCAGAAGTTTGATCCTTAAGGGGTTAAACTACAATAAATGTGTTTAGAAATCAGTCTGTGTAAATAAAATACATTGTTCATGTTCTAAATTAGATTTTAGTTACATAAACTGTTGTAAGTCACCTAAAGCTTCTCTGGCGCATCTCTTCTGGTCAGTAAGCAGCTGGCAACAAGCAGGAGTAGGCACTTCCATCAGGTATGAGCAAGAAGGCATGTGCCTACTCTATGTAATGGCCAAGCCTAAAGTTAAGCATGACAATGTATCAATTCAACATAACAATGTATCTGATAATGTCACAAATGATCTCCAAGCAAAGGAAATGTCCACTCATTTCTCAGACATGTACAATAAACAGATGTAAAGAAAAAGATTTCAGATTGTCGTTGGCACCAAAAGGCAACAATTAATTGGCCACAAGCTGAAAACTGTCTCCCCAGATTTCCTTCCACGGTATGAGCTAAAGTTCCACTGATCATTCACATAGATCATTGTTGGCAAGAAACTTCACTGAGAATTGGGGATCTTTACAAATGAAGTAATGACACTCTGTAAAATAATCTGTGCATTACATTATTTTTTAACTGAGCTCTAAGTGGTAAAGAACCAAGCACTGTTGGATGTGGCCTTACTTCCACTACCAGGATAAGAATAGAGTGAATGTCACATTATGAATCTCCATTAGCTTGTCTCTCCGTACTAAGTGACATCACCTTCTAAGAGCTCTTGGTCTAATTGTTCTAAATATGTATTCTTGGATATTAAATACATTGTTAAACATAGATCTGCACACGCCATACAAGCCATAAGACTTGCTTTTCCATTTGCCTCATTCATTGGCAAATAGATGGTTCTTTGTTGAACTAATTTGCATATACCCAGAATCCATTGCAGTAATAACAGCTCTGCAAATGTGAGATTTCTTGGGAAAAGCAAGTCTTATGGCTAGTTTAGCAGGTGCAGGTCTGTGTTTAACAATGTATATGCAATCCAGTGACTTCAGATGGAAGAGGTTTTCAAAAACTTTTTTTCCCCACCATAACACTGTTGGTTCATGTATTCCTGTGAAGACGTAAACACTGACTTACAGAAAGAAAACTGGAGAGTCTTTGTGCTGAAAGTACTTTGCCTGCACTAACTAAAACCCAGATGAAATAATGTAACACACAAAAAAAAATGAAATGAGAAAAAGCATTTATTATATAAAGTGAGTTTTTGTAACAGAAATCACCAAAAATAATTTAAACCATTACGGTGATGCAGCTGGTGTGCTACTTGTGTGTCTTACTGTTAAAATGTCAGGGGTTTTAGAAGTAGATAGAGTGTGGAGTACATAAAAAATATTTCTATTATATAATACAATAAACAAAAATAAATGGAAAAGGTGATATAAGGACATATCCTGCAGGAGTTGGTATATTTTCTTATAGAAAATGCATAACAGGGACAAACAGATAAATAACCAAAACAGGTAAAAATATATATGTATAAAACTTTTACTTACTATATACTCAGAATGGGGTTAAGATAATTAACTCTTTCAGTAAGTAGTGCCTCACCATCTTAGCTTGGGAGATTTGGACACCAACACACTTTAGCTTTATATATGAGGAGCCTGCTGTTCTCAGATAATGAACTGCTTTAACCTGAAAGACACGTACTTACAGTATAAAAGATGAGACTAAATTGCTTTGGATACAAAAAAGAAAATCAAGAGTTAAATGAAAAATGTACTATTTAGTAGTTAATATACATTGATTGTATTTATATTTACAGCTCTGTCAAGGTATTGGAATGAGTACATGAGTCCGACAAAACATGGTCCTTAACGACCGCGGACAAACCGGATACGTCCGCGGTGGAATTAGAGCCCTGGAAGCAATTATGATCGCTTCCAGCAGCTCTAATGGTATTGCAGCCATGCCTCAGTTGAGGCATGGCTGCAATACCCCCCTCACTGTTGGTGGCCCCTGGAGAACACCAGGCGATCGTTCCCCCTGGAGCGATCACTTTCGGGTTGCTCCATGTGGAGCCCAGCTGTGAGGCAGAGCATTGGAAGCCATCAGGCAAGCTTCCGATGCTCTGCCTGTACTGAGTGCATCAAGGGGTCGAGGCACTCAGTAAATGTAAAAAATAAAAAAATAATTAAATAAATAAATGTAAAAAATCTTTAACCTCTATCCTCCCTCCCTCTCCCTCCCCATGTAATTACCGATCACTGCCGTTCCACAGCCGGCGATTGGTACTCTTCTTAGGGGGAATTGTCTGTGCACAGCCCAGACAGTCCCTCCTCTCCAATATTGGACCACCAGGGGCCATGTGACCGCTCTAAAAGACCATATACCATATTTTTCCATGTGTAAGATGCCCCTATGTATAAGCGACCCCTATTTCTTGAGCCTTAAAAAAAAGAATATTTTATACATCAAATAGAACAACTTTGATATTTTCTAGGTGACTTCGGAGGAGAATAATACACTTCTGATTATCTGCCTCCCCTGTGCTACGGTACTCTGTGAAGTTAATGGCACTATAGTGCATGCTGGGAGACTACAGCTCCCACGATACCGCAGGTACT